CCTGACGTGTCCGATTGTCACTCGAATCCATCATCAGAGTCAGATAAGGGTGGCAAATTGCCCAGGTGTTTCAGTATTTATAGGATGTGGTTGCTAGGCCGCTACATGCCTATCGCTGTTGGCAGCTTCCGAGTGCATCACGGCTCGACTGGCCAGGTGCTGAAGCATGCAGTTGCTATGCGCTTGTGTGGCGGTCAAGATTATCGATTCCCGCGCTCATCGCACGCTAACGGCCAGATTTCGTCATCCGTGCGGACTATTGGGTAATCTGGCTTGCCAACATTGACACCAGGAACAGTGGTCATCCGCACGCTGTCCTCGCGTCTAACTACTTTGCTTAGGCAAAGTCTCAGCGAGGAATATGCAGAGGGGAGGTCGTTACGTCTGTTGACTGACTGAGGAGCAAAAAACCATGACTCGAGGAGTTCGCGGCTCCGAAACGTCAGACAAATAAAGCTCTTGTTCCTGCGATCGTGTCACCTTCCCCGCGACTACTTTCTGGAACTCGCCTCTTCGCTGGATCCAAAAGCGAACATCTTCATCCACACTGGCTTGTGTCGGGTGGGGAGAGCGTCTGTCATGTAATGCCACTATGGTCTATGACCTTTTTATGGGCAGCCGATCTGTAAGACCATTTTCGGGCAAGCCTGAAGGTAAAAACACGGCAGAACCCGATCACTCATCGCTCTCAATTGCTGACTGTCATTACTCAACTGCCTGGGGGCTCTAGAATGCGGCTCCAAGTCGAAGAGGAACTGCCAAATCACTGACTTACCAATGCCGTCAACGACGTCGTCTCGAAGGCCACATCACGTGAAAAACGCAGGGCAGACCGGACTGATCCTACACGAGGACTGGATGCTCGCTCCGCGGTGGCGGAATCTTGGACGCATGTTCAGACGTTAGTAACTACAGTAGGTGAAATGTCAACCGAAATTCTGAAATGCGTTTTCACTTCGAAAAGATTAACTAAGTGTAGTTAGAAAACTAATAATCAAGCAGCATGGATGCCGAATTTCGAACGAACTTCTCTCCAGCAGCGTGCAAGAGTTATGCTCTGTAAAAAATGACTACTTAATTAGCATGTATTTTTCTCATTGATTTTCCATGCCCTTAAAAATCCAATGATATTTAACGGAAAACATGCATGACAATATTCATTCTTTTACTTATCCGGTAGAAAATTACGACTTCGTCCAATTTTAAACTCGGAGAAAGGGTGTAACTCGGTTTTTAAGAAGTTTCCAGTTGTGAGGTTTTCTAATACCGTGAACTGGCCGTTCATAAAACGTCATGTCCCTGCATTTACCAATGCAGCTCGTAAAGTTAAGAACATTGCTCAAATCAACTGCTGAATTTTATGAACCCCAAAGGGTGTCCACTTAATACCGTAGATAAACATATGGTTTTCCGTACGCGTAAAATATATGGTTTGCAGTTTGAAAACCCTGAATGCGAGTGTAACGGCGGGTTGGTTTGAAAATCATTCGGGAATTGGAAAAGTTTTTGGAAACCGAATTATACCTTTCTTCGAGCATAAAATTGGAAGAAGACGTAATTTTCTACCGGATGAATAAAAGAATGAATATTTTTATTTATGCAGAATAGCATTACCGACAAAGACAAGGGAGACTGGAATGGCCATTTCTGGCTTATTAGCCGTCGTCAGCCAGCCATATCCAAGCCCGAAGTGTGGAACACCCGAGCCTCGAACTCGCGACCTGTTGGTTTAGAAGTCAACGCCTCTACTCACCGGGCCACGAGCCCGTTGCCTTGTTTTCAATGAAATATAGTTTAATTCTTAAAGGCATCGAAAATCAATGAGAAAACTACATGCTACTTAAACAGTCACTTTTGCAGAGTATAGATTTCGCGTTTAGCCAGAAAGAAAGTCTTTCGAAAGCCGGCATCCTGAGGTAACTGAATTATTATAGTATAGTGCTGCTTGATAAGTAGTTCTCCAAGTCTACTTAATTAATCATTTCGAAACAAAAGAAACATTTCGGTATTTCCGTTGACATTTCATGAGTTAGTCCACCAACTGTAGCAGACGAGTTTGGACTTGCGTTGCTGGTTAAAAGACACCGTTACCCAAAAATTATACGTGAACCAGCCTTCTCTTTGGAAGCGGCGTCCGCAAGAATTGCTGCTGAGAATCTGAATAGATTCGAATGTCACCACAGGCAATTGTTCGGAAATACCCGGCGGGTCGCGAACGCCCGGTCGGTTGTACTGAAATTTCTAGCATCCCAGGTAGAAAGAACTCCGATGACAGGGTTGAAGGCTGCCCACCCGAAAGGAAGGCATGGAGGCCGTCTGTGGGCGATTAAGAACTCGACATCGTGTTCAACAGGTCAGAATGTCATACAGCATGTGGGCTAACTCATGAAATGTCAGCCGAAATTTCGAAATGCGTATCCGTTTCGAAACGATTAATTAAGTAGTATTGTAAAACCAAACATTATCCAGCATAATTCTAATAATAATCCAGTTGCCTTAGGGTGTAGGCTTTCGAATGAAATCCTTACTGAATGCATGCAAAGATTATACTCTGCAAAAAATGCCTACTTATATTTCATGGAAAACATGCATAAAATATTCATTTTTCTGATCATTTGGTAGAAAATGGCGTCTTTTTCCAATTTTATACTCAAAGGAAGAGTATAATTCGGCCTTTAAAAAAGTGTCTAATTGTACGTTTTTTATATCGGGAAATGGCCGTTCACATAACATCATGCCTCTGCATTTACCAATGTGGCTTGTAAAGTTGGCAATGATTTAAATCTACTGCTAAATCTTATGAACTCCACATGCTCTTCTCTTAATATCGTAGAGCAATGTTTGGTTTTCCATACGCAGAAAATATACGGCTTGTAGTTTGCAAAACCTGAATGCAAGGGTAAAGGCAAGTTGGGTTCAACATTATTCGGGAATGGGAAAACTTTTTTAAAACCGAATTATACACTTTTTAGAATACAAAATTGAATTGACGTAATTTTCTACCGAATAAATATTTTTATGTATGAGAAAGTGAAGGCTCTTCGGAATATTGAGTTGTACTCGTGAATTTTCAAGTCGGTGACACCGACCCGTCGTCAGACGAAATGAACAGAGGGAAAGTGAAGTCGGCAGACTAGGTCGGCTGGCGCGACAGGACAGACAACGACAAACAGACAGCTGATGGGTGAGAGGGGTGGGCACCTAGTTGTGGCACGCCGTGGGGCAGGGGAAGGGAAGGAAGAACCGTTAGGGCTCTCAGTGTTGGAGGCGGTGAAAACGTGGGGGGGGAGGGGGGGTGGGGATTGCGAGTCAGTGGGAATGCGGGTGGCTGGTCATTGATGCGGGCGGCTGGTCACTGATGCGGGATGAGGTCGGGGGGCAATGCGCCGGCGTTGGAGGTGTTAGGGGGGGTTTAGGTTGTTGTTCACCGTGTCGCAAGGGGGAGCGGAAAGGCGAAACAGCATACGTCTATGTGGCCGAGTGGGGGTTAGCAAATGTTGAGGTGTGGGAACAAGACAGTGAGCGTGTACGTAAACCCTCGTAATTAGCGTCTAAATCGACGTGGCGGTTGATGCTGGTCGTGCCAGAATGCCAAGCTTCGAGGAATTCTCGCGCCTGTCTGGTGTTAGCCTTTGCGATCACTTCAGTGTCATCCCAATTGAAGCGGTGTATGTTTTCCATGAAATATTGTTGCATTTTTAAGGGCATTGAAAATCGAAGAGGTGAATTCATGCTACTTAAGTAGTAATTTTACAAAGAACATAGCTCTTGCATGCAGTTGGATAGTTCATTCGAAAGCCGACACACTGAGTCAACCGGATTATTATAGAACTATGCTGCAGGATGATTAGTTTTACAACACTACTTAATTAACTTTTTCGGAACGAAGACGAATTTCGAAATTTAGGTTGACATTTCATGATTTAGCCCACCTGCTGTACTTGCATGTCTTAAAAGATATCTGGCATCTGACGCATTTCAACCAAGGAAGGCGACTTTGCTGGATCGGATGATTTAAGAGCGTACTGAGGGTAACAAGCTCATGATCAAATAGGTCAAATCAACGATAGCCAGGAATGCTACGGTAGTAGGGAGGGCGGCTGCGTGCACGTCACGTTCGTTTGTGTCCACCTCCGACTGGATCTATGAAAAAGCTACATGCAGCTGTCTTTCATGAAACAGCAGAGGCAACCCAGAAAGATGAATTCAGGAAAACGGGGTTCTGGTCAGTCAGGCCAACTGCAGGTCTCCGCGGTGGCGGCAGATAGTCCCGCCATGTTACCTTGGCGATGTTGACAGCCGTCACTCGTATCCCCTACCGGGTTGGGATCTCTGCCTAAAGACTGAAAAGACACATACGACACGGCAAGTATTGGTTGCCATCCAGTAAAACTGCATCCGCCTCAGTCCGACACAAACATAGATCGGTGAGCAACCTCTACCCCCAGTTAGTATACCCAATCGCAACCGACAGGACAGTGAGCCCGTGGCTAGAGCGCTGGACTTCCAGCCAACTGAACGCGGACTCGAGCCCAGGGGGCACGAGGCCTGAGACTGTATGGGTGGCTGATGACGGCCAATAAGCCAGAAATACCCATCCAAGTCTCCTGAGATAGCAGGATACACAACGCTTGACAATCACGGCAACGAAGTGCAAATGTGTTACAGGACACTATACTAATAGCACAGACACAAGCTAAAGGCCTGCCGATATTCTGCCGCTGTATGGCACAATTGCGCCGCTCTTCAGCGGGTTCCCCAGCATCTTCCGTGTGCCTTCCGATAAATACTCCAGTTCTAAAATTGCAGCTTTTTAATCACATCGAAAACTAACCGTTAACTTGGCATAAGTCAGTCTATTTGAGACTTTTAGGCCCAGACTGAATTTTGATATAAATATTTGGACCGAAGTCCATTAGCCACTGCGGAAAAACCGCGTAATATTCATAAGCTGCTAACAGGCAGCATGCATTATATGCTGAGGTAGCACGGCGTGCCGGCGGGGACCCGCTGATGAGCCGAACCCCTCGCAGCTCTGCCATGCAGCGGCAGAATATCCGCGAAACGCGTGCCCGGGCGTTTAGCTGGTACCTATGCTGTAAAGTGTGGTATGTCTTGCTATCTCGGCACATACTACTGGCTGCCTGTCTCTAACGAACGGACCACAATCTGCTGACGGAGAATAAGAAGAATGACAAAGTCAGAGTGTAGAAAAAGTTAATCTTGCTATTAAAATAGGGCAAGAGAAGTTTCCTAAGCGATAAGACAAGTGGAATTTCCCGGCCGACGGCGTATACTCACATAAATATAAAAAGGATCTAGCTGGCGGGCACTGAAGTTTGCGGAAGAAAATACACGATAAAACGAATATAAAAAACTGGCCCGCAGTGCGATATCAA